TTTATTTATTTTAGAATTTTCAGTTATTACTTTTGGCTATGTAAATGTACAAGGAATAATTGTCTCTTAAATTACTTATGGAAAATCATATTAAATTATCCATTTAGCTACCCGGTGGGCGAATGCATGTTAATTGCTTTTACGTTCGTGTGGGTTATTAAATAATGCTTCATGCGGAGACTTATTTACAAGCTCGGAGCTCCTCTCAGTAAAATGCTCGCAGCTAAGTGATTTACTTTGTACGGTCGTAAACTGTAATATAGAAAACGTTTTTAGTATGCTAGATTTTTTATTTATTTATCATATGCAATATTGTTTTGTACAGAAATATATTGTTTTAGAATAGTAGAATGTATTAAAACTTTTTAAATTTATTAAGTTTTATCATCATCTTCCCCACTTTATCCTTCTTACGTAAGGGTCGGTGTACCGGGTTTTCGTTGTCCAAATAACTCTTATCATACGTCATCTCAGTCATCACTCCCTTCTTGATCGTGTCACCATTCACGCAATCCATCCATCTCTACCGGTGCACCTCCACACTCATAACTAACGTCCTTCTTGTTACATGCGATTCAGTCCATAACATGCCCATACCATGCTAACCTTTTACTCCTTAATTTCTCTCCTTTTCATTGAGTTTATAAAAGAAAATTTCTATCTCCTCTTAAAGAAACGAAGATAACATTTGTTTGTACATGTGTCTTAGCATATAAAGTCTAGACTCAGTTTATTTTTCTGCTAGCTGTTGCCAATAATTAATATATTAATAAACAATACCCCGGTGTCTAAGTTGGATATCTTACTCGGAACTATGGGACTATATTTCTTGATAGATTGGTAAGCATTAAATTATCACAATGATAATTCGTTACTTGATGAGTAACTTAGTATAGTCATCGAGTGCTCTGATATATTCCAGTTAATACATCTTAATCTATTGTTTACAAAACATTGGTTGTTTTGTTGCCTGTCCTATATCGTTGGGAGCGTCCTCTGTATATTCACGTCTTAAAATAACACGCACAAATCGACTCTAAATAAGTACAGTCGCAGTATATTAATGCTCTACTCGTGCTTGAATTAATTACGTCTTCCTTTTAATTAATACGATATAACTAGTTATTGGTGGGAACTACAAGCTTTAAATATTATAAATATGCATCTGGATTGTGTTTTATGATGATACTTGAAACGTTAAGTGAATTTATGTAATCGATCTCTTTGGTAGATAAACAGTTTGCATTCTGAAGAGGCATACCGGACACTAAGACCTTTGCCTTTTTTGTTATAGGTGAAAAAATAAGAGAATCGCGCGGGAAGTCAAAGACTAAATCGAAATAATATGTTTTTTTTTTATCAAAAAACTAGCTGTTGCACGCGACTTCGTCCGCGTGAATTTAAAAAAAATTAAAAACATAAACTATTTTTCTCACTGATAACGTAGTTTTTTAAATCGGCCCAGTAGATTTTAGTTATTTTATCACATACAAAAATCCAAATATACAATTTTTTTCTTTTTTATAATATTAGTATAGATTATTATTAACAAATAATAGCATATTTGACTGTCGCGCTGCTGTTTACAATTTATACATATGTACGTATTATCGAGAGGAGCGAAAAATGTTTTTGTACCGTTGGCAGCGACGACGTCTAGTCACAGACCATTAGAAAATATTATACTATTACAAATTACACTAAAAAGTTACAGGCCAAATAGCCTTTTAAATGAGACCTATGTTACCATAAATTACTGCACACGTAAACCAGTGAAAAGCCTGATCGCTATCGTTTCCCGCAAACCTTATATCAGTATGAATCACTTGCCCTTGGCCTCGGCACCCTGACAGCTCTGCTACACCATGCTCGTCAAGGTCTAGGCCTAGGCCTGTTTCATTAAATCCAAATGGTTTGTGGAAAACACCTATTAGTTCATCAAACATGTATCTTTACCCAACAAGAAGTTATTGGAATTTACATGTATAGTATAATCGATTAGGGACGTATGAATATAAATGATCTTTGTTCCATATTTTAGTACGTTGAGCTGTTCTGAATGTACATGGCAACAAATACGAGTATCCATATAACCTTTAATACTATTGGAAAGATTGTTTATTGAGTTCCAAAATATGGTAACCCTTTGATGGAAGGTATATCCGGAGATCGTTGAGCGTGTATGCAATGATTTTGTATTGACCTGAGTTCAGTAGGTCACCGCTGCGGGCCTCGGAGGCTGGGTCCTGCTCCTGCCCGGCTACGCCCCGCTCCCTGCGTCCCACTCGCATCTAGGTCACCCGGTTGCAACGCGCGCTGCAACCTACAATCTATAATAAACCTATCCCAGGTATTTTACTACAATATGTTAATTAATAGCCATCTCTACTCGCTATCGATAAAGAAATGTATGGTTTTATAAATATTTTTTGGTTTAGGTCAATTTATGTTACATTGTATCTTGCTTAGGATTTATAGATGAAATAATTCCGTTTCCGGTTGACCTGTTGTCGTTGTCCGATAAAATTGTACTTTACAATCACATAAAACATTTTATTATAAAAATGTTAATGTGTAAGGCTAGAAAATCGTATATTTGACTGATCATTGGGATAATAAGCTCTCTAACTTCAATACCAAGAGGCTTGTAAAAAGATCTCAGAAAATGAAAATATGTAATATTACCTCTCCACTTCAGTAGGTCACGTTTCTTTAACCTTTATGCGTTCTTTCTCTGTAGGTAGACGTGGGCGTCTTTAAGATTAATTCGATATTTCCTGTGCCTGAATTCTTACAAGTGAAAAACGCAAGTAATATTACTAAATTCGACTACCGAATGTCAGATTTACGACTGTTTCCGTAATCTGTTTCCTTTGGTAATGTGCGATTGAATTATTTTGTATGTGATTTTAGATACTGTACACTCCATGTGAGAAAATGTTTGATACGTTTTATAAATTCTATTTTCTTTCTTCTGCATCTTTCGACTGCATCAACACTTTCTTTAGGTGGGATCGTGGTCAAGCGCTAGCTTAACAAACATTAAAAAAAACAATTGTTAACGATAATGGTGTTATTGAAATGTGACAAGCATTTAGAATTGAATATTTTCATATGGTAAATAGTATAGATTATTGAATTGGATATTAAAGTGAAGTATTGTTATATTTCATGGTAACAATTTTTCCATTTGTTAAATGATTTTTGTTGAATTTATTAATAAAATTTGTTAATGTAACAGATGGCTTTATTCACTTTCTACTGGATTGTGAGATTCCAACTAAGACAAAAAATCTCTATTGTCATGTTTTGTGTTTGCTTACATTTTTCTTATATTTACCAAAACCCCAAACGGTAATATACCCTTGGCCATTCCAAAACGACGGTCAAATCTATCGAAGCTGTTAAAGGTACGCTTGTGAATATTGAACCATGTTACTGAAACTTACGGCTCAAATAGGCACATCATACGATTCGCTGATTCATCCCCGACAAGGTCAGTCTATCGATAGTTAAAGTTTCAGAATAGGGTGGCAATATTCAAGCGATAGGTACAACTTTAATACTCGCAGAGCCCGCGCACACCTTTGACAAAACTATCTGACAACTGTTGTGCGATTGTTGATTGTTTCGAGACAAATAAATATCGAGTAGTGTGCGCACCTCCGTATAAGCTCAAATTAATCAAAGCACAACTAAAAAGTTATGCCATAGTTTAGTCAAAGGTGTGCGCGCGCTCTTATAAGAGAATATCAAGTAATTTACCATTTAATGATTCGAAAATATAATTTTGAAAATGGGATAAAAATTATTCGTATAAAACTTCAGATCTGTAGATCGAAAATGGGATGCACAGTTATATTTAGTATCCTATACCTATAAGACAATCAAAGCTTAAGAAAACCTTGCAAAAACCACCTTTTCCAAGTCAATTTGTATTTAAAATAATCATGTCTTGCTATAATCTCTTGTATCCCTATAACATAAGATATAGACTTCTAAAAGCCCATGAATCAGGGCTGACGCATAGGCGTAGTCACAAACTTGACAGCTTGTGTGGCAAGGGCATTGGGTCAGGGACGGCATCGCTCGTTTCCATTATCCCTTGTCGTTGTAAAATTTTAAATGATTTTACTGCCACATGACAAAATTTTGACAATTTTCCGAATTTACCAAAACATCTGGCTCTTATTACCAATTAAATTATTTTTATTTTTAATTAAAAGTCGAACCCACAGCTAGACATATCTCTAATTATTCCACTTGTATGATTTATATTTCACTCTGTAGAAATTATAAAAATACGATCAAATATCAGCTCAGTAATTAAATAAACTGGCTGAATTTTCTTAAAACTCTCTGAATAAAATTATCAAGTTTTTCAAATGACTAAGTCGTGATCAAACGTTCTATTTAACAGTTAATATTTAAATCTACATCTAACACAAATACATAGTAATATTTTAAATATGAAATATGTATAATTCTGAGAACGATATTACTATAATATTACAACCATCAAAGAGTATAACGATTTACGATAGTACCGAATTGAGCTGTTACTTAATAAATATAAATGTTATAGGAATTTGATTGGTGTGCCAAGATACATTTTGTACGATCCTAACGTAGAATTTATAAGTCGCGCGTGGATTTGCCTGTTGACGGATTTATTTTTATTATACTACGCGAAATATTAGCAATATCAGTGTTAAACTTCATACGTAATGTTATAAAATCTAATGTTTTAAATTTTCTTGTCCGATTAATGCTCGTGACTTGCTTAACAGTGGACATCGTCACCGGCGATGCTTCGATAAGAATGAGCGATTGGTAGTTTAGTTTGACGGCTACGGTGTATTAGCAAATTTTGTTGCTATTAGTTAAGCTTGTTTGTCGGCTTAAGTAAAGGATGCTTGCTCACAATGTTTTATATGGGACCTTCGAGGAGCACCCGATTCGTCAAACTATATACACAAAGGTTATTTTGGTTGTTACAGATATATGGATTCGAGGATAGTGAAGAAGCATCGCATAAAAGTAGTGTCGAGCTGCTCGTACCAGTCTTACAGCGTTTTGGAATAATCCAAAATATCTGCTAACGATACCGAACAATGTGCTCCGTCAAGCGCCGTCCACTTCAACCGAAAACTGATTTGAACTCTAGCAAGAACCCCAGAGTAGTTAAACCACAGATTAAAAAGAATTCCAATCTGACGAATCAAAATAAAAAAAAGAAAAACCACGAGCTTAAAAACATTACAGCTACACCCACCCTGTGTTCTTCGGAAATCGAAATTTAAGGACAATCTAACTTTTTTAACTGACAACAGTTTTCCCGTCGACATCTGGGAGTTTTAGATTTTTTCTGAACAAAAGCTTTAACTAGTGTTTTTGGACGAAGATTCTAAATAAAAAAAAATAGTTGCCTTCTAATTGTAGTACGTAGTGTCTATACCTTCGTTGGTCCAACACCTTTAATGTGTAAATGTAATTATAGTTCCCAGTGAATGATGTATTGATGTGTGAAATTATACGATTATTTTAGAGAAGTCATATACTGAATACTAATATAAAGGTGAGTTTTTAATTTCCTTTTATCTAACACAGACTGCTTCAAGCGATTGATGGGTAAGCTGCATTTATAGGGGTGGGACAGCAAACTGACTATCGTGTGAACTTAAATTGTTGATTCCGATTGCTAGAAGCGGTCCGTGTATTACCTTTATAAATATGAAGCCTTATAACCTAGAGTAGATTTTTTATATACCTATGAGTTTTGGGTTAATAATGTGTGATAGTTTTCTAATAAATTCAAATTAAAGACATAATATGTTACGTCTATTTTGTTTTTTATAAAAGAAAAATATTGTTTATGTATCTGATTATATGAGCTGAAGTTTTTAGAAGTAATATTCGATAGTACATTTAAATGATTGGCGTTACGCCAACTGTTTGTCGATTTCAGAGCGATGGGGATAGCACTTTGCTATGTCATCTATCTTAGGAAAATTATGTTATATCGTTATTATACGATAGATCAAGTAAATGAACGATAGCTAACAACTGTTTGATTCATTTGAGATTACAGATTATTATATAGATAGCCACGAAAGTATTAGACATTTTTAATTTTTTGGTTAGTAACATTCCAAAAACATTATGTGTTCTACAAACGTGGTTTGTATGGCTGTGCCAATTCGGGTTTGAATAAGGGATAAGTATTTATTGTCATGTTCTCATTAATGTTTCAGGGTACACAATGGAGAAGTCTGAGGTAGAAAAGATCTGCCTTGACGATGGGCCGCTTAGTAGGAGCCGGGTAATCATGACTTTCTCTTAACTTCTATACTAATATTATAAATATAAAAAAAGTAATTCAAAAAGTACTGGGACAATTTAAAAAATTCTTTCACCTTTAAAAGCTACATTTCAACTGAGCAACATAGGCTGTTTTTTCTACTATTTCTAATTCCACGTGGACTAAGTTGCGAGCAACAATTAGTCATTGTTATTTTTCTATCCACGCCAGCGACAGTTAGGTGAATTACTTAGCTTTTTTATTACATTTTGCAGAGTTTCAAAACGAAGCAACTGGTGCGTAGCCAGGCGATACGTGAGTCCCAGTCGCCGCCGCACACGTCGCCGGCGCACGGCCGCGCGCCGCGGTGCGTTCCTAGCGCCAGCGGGGACGCCAGCGACACCTCCAGCCCCGCCAGCGACATCGGCAGCGATGATAGGAAGAAACATGTTGAGATACAGGTCAGATACATCATACAGTCTACACTTTTAACTATCGCAGACGTTTAATTTAAGCTGCCAATTAATTGTACCTTTACCATTAAACAACTCGAGTAAAAGAAGTCTTAGTATTCTTGCGACCGAATTCTAGAACCAATCTCTATTACTTCAAGAATATAACAGTAGTTATTGTATATAAGTTATATTGCAAGCAATAAACTCCCTATTAGATAAGTGGTGGTGGATGGGAGTGCGAGCAGTTGGAGCAACGGCAACGCGCGCAGTTGTGGCCGGGCCGCGCGCCCGACCTGCTCTCCTACAACCCGCGCGTTGCTTGCGTGTGCGGCGCCTGCGGGGCCTGCCCGCAATGCAAGTAAGTACACTAATATTCGTCGAACAGTACAGCAGACGAAGGAATGATCGGTTCACACTTGGCCAATTCAAGTAACTGGACTGAACTGGCACAGTGTGTACTGTGCATAATGTCCTGTATAAGCTGACTTCTTTGAAAAAATCTCTCGACTACAGTGTGACGCCGTGAAATATTGAATCCTAATATTAACCTCTGGTATTTCGCTCTTATTCAAAGATATTAAAATATACAGAGTGGGCATAGTTGAGACTTAACTTAAAACATTTTTCATATAATCTTAGTAGCGCTGCCTGGTGTCCGTTAGGCAACATTATAACGAAAAAAATAATTCAAACACTGAGGAGCATCTCGACAAGTTAAATTTGACATTTGAGATATAACCCTACAAAAAAGTTCCGGTGAAAAAAAAGTTGTTCTATATGTCTAATCTATATATTTCCAAAATGTCTTTGTTCTCACTACTCTGACATTCTGTGTATCGTCTTTTCTCTTCCAGAGGTCGGCGACGGAAACCGGTGTGCCCGAAGCAGGACTCCGGCATCGTCTGTTCCGATGAATGCCCGGATTGTTCAGATTCAGAGCAGACAGGTAACGCAATGGACAGAAATATTCATCTCTACTCTCTGTCATTCAATACTAATTTTATAGAGAGTAAAGATTTGTATATTTGTATGTATTGAAATAACTTAAAAACTACTAGTCTGATTACAAAAATTCTTTCGTCATTAAAAACTACGTTATAAGTGAATAATATAAGTTATGTTTTTTATTAATATCTTAATTCCATGCGGGCGAAGTCGCGAGCAATAGCTAGTTCTATTTAACAGAGATAACTATATGTTTTGGATGGAACTATTAAGACAGCATAAATATTGTTTTCTTACTTCAGGGAGTCCCAAGGAGGTTCCGAAGAAATCAGCTAGTCTTGAGGCTGATGACACTTATTATTGCAGGTATGTTAAAACCAATTGTAAAACAGCTTTTAATAAATTTATTTTAATTGTTTGCTTGTGTTTTTTTTTAATAAATTCTTATTATTTTTAGGTGTCCGGAGAGGAAAGAGAAACCCAGGACTATTTTATTAAATAGAACTGATTCTGGTAAGTAATTGATACATTTAAATGTCAACAAACAGACTCTTCATTGCTGGTCTAGCTATGAATAGAGAGTAAAGAGAATCCAGAACATTTAATTATTATTTTGTCTTGTAATGCATTTATAGAAGACAGAAAAGGGTAAAAGATTTAAGAGATAATCCAGGACAGTGTAGATTGTTATACTTTTTAAAAAAAATATATTTTCATCTGATCTTTATACTTTTTAATTTTTTATACATAGACGATAAATTGGAGCCAACTGGACCTGAGCTGGTGGACTTCATCAAGGAGACACTGAACAAGAATTCACGGGACAGACTGACGCTGCTCAAGATTGAGAAGGAGCTGCATAATCTGGTCAATGATACGGGGTAAGTACAATTTATAGTGGAACGTGATGAATAACCAGTTTAAATTGACACTTCATATCAAATCTTCTGTAAGCACATATTGCTTTTCAGAAGTCACTATATGTATGGCTTAAGAGTGGCCGCATATTCTGACTAATCTGTCATACAACTATTATATAAACAACAACAACAAATATTATAAAATTAAATATTTGCATTTTTGTGTGTTTTGAAATAACTTAAAAACTACTAGGCCGATTTCGAAAATTAGACTGTTAAAAAGGTAATTTTTCTGTGAGCAAACATAGGCTACGTTTTTTTTTTAATTACCGCGGACGAAGTCGCGAGCGACAGCTAGTAATGCATTTAACACGTTATCAATATGTAAATAATTCTTAAACTACTAATAAAAGTCTATTTTTGCAATAATAATTATTTTTGTTTAACTAAATTATGAAAATGTTTATATTGATTACAGTCGTTGCATAGTGCGGTTCCCAGTGATGACGTCATACGGGCGCATGCTGGTGCACCGCTGCGCCGCGCTGTTCCAGCTGTCGCATCACATCGACCAGAACAACAAGACCTGCGTCATGGTCTCCAAGACTGGTGAGTAATGCTATCGAAGGTTCAACTTATAATGGTTCATAACATGTGTACAGTCAGGTATCTTCGCAGTGTTTAACTTTCCGTAAATAATAGTATTGTTTAATGTTTTCAGGCACGAGCGGCGGCCGCATACCGTGCACTAATTTCAAGGAGTGGTGCACTACCGTGTTCCCCCCCAGCCCGCAGCACCGCCGTGATGATACCCTCGCCAAGTAAGTTATTACAATCATAGTAATATTATAAATGTGAAAGGTTTAGATGGATGGATAGATATTTGTTACAGTTTGTAGCCTAAACGCCTGGACGGATTTCGATCAAATTTGGCTTAGTTGTAGAGGATAGTTAGAAAGAAGGCATAGGTTACTAAAATTTGTTTTTTTTATCCCACGCGGACGGATTCGATGGCAAAAGTATTTAACTAAATAAAGCTTGAATAAAACAAAATAAGGAATAAAGAATAAAATAAAAATCGCTTTTAAGTCTATTTTAAGTAATTAAATAATATATGAAATATTCATTGAAAACAAATAGTTTTCTATATTCTTTTACATTTACAAAAGGTGCAATTGCCTATACATTGTATTTGATGAGGAGGGCAGTTCCTTGTTGCTTACATTGACCATTTATGTATTTCAAATAATTAATATTACTTTGTCATTTAAATTTAATTACTTATTGTGTATGCGATTAGGTCGATATTGAAGCGTTCGTCTGCAGCGGGCGAGGAGGCGTGCGGCGCGGCGGGGGGCGCGGCGCGCAGCAAGTCACTGGAGCAGCGCGAGCGCGAGTACGAGCGCGTGCGCAGGCGCATATTCAGCTCGGTGAGGACGAACAGTACACACACTGTGAACATCAACATCACCAGCTCAATAAGACCCAGTCCTCACTGAGGCTGGGGCCTACCCTAAGTTAGGTAACTAGGCCATAGTCAACCATGCTGGCCCACTGCGAGTTAACTTCACATTACTTTGAATTTCTTCACCGATATCTGCAGGTTGCATCACGTTTTCCTTAACAAAATAGTTTGAGTGAATTTAAAAATTTTAAATGCTTGTTTTGTAGAAAAAATACATTTTGAATACTGCCATTTCTCTATTTAACCGACGATGTGTCGAACACAGTGACACTGGACATGTTGAATAATGAAAAAGTTTAATTCATTTTAATCTTAATAAAATAATATTATTTCCGTTTCCGTTGTTTATCGTATATCGTTTAATCGTTCAAACGATTGTAGCTTTTAAGGTGGAACACCAGTTTCAATCTATTTTTATATTTCAGGATAATTGTACGCAGGACGAGACGCAGTGGCCGTGGCTCGCCACCGGACCTGTTAAACTTCTGACCTCCGAGGGACGCAATAAACTTATTAAAGTTAGTATAGAACATTCTAGGGGTACAGTTAGTAAAACACAAAGTATGCAACTGATATGTTTTACACGATACAGAATACATTTAATTATAGTTGATTGCAGGTGGCTAAGTTTTCTAAAGTTACCTTTAATTTAATTGATGATTTCGCTACGTTTTACGAAAACTACTAATTTTACTTTCTGCGCCAGTTTAGATGGATGGATGTTAGAGTTTGGAGCCTAAATTTCTGAACGCCATTCAATTATATGGCATAGATACAGAGGGTAGTCTGAAAAATCACGTACTTCTTGTCCCTTTAATTCCACGAAAACGGAATTGCGGGGAAAGCTAGTGTGTTTATGTATGCGATATTTTCTTTATTATTTTATTAAAAAACTTTCAAACGCTGTGTATAGGTGCAGTCCCTGGAGAGCCGCGGCGGGGAGAGCGCGCGGCGCGGCGCCGTCTCCAAGAGTCATAGCTTCGGCGGGTACGCCGCGGAGCCCCCCAACACGCGCCTGCTCAGCAAACAAGGTAATAGAACACTAATATATACAATACTATCACGACTATAACTCAGAGAGGGAGGCAGAAACCATGATTTTTCAATTAGCTAGGTCCAGACACACTTATCTTCCATTATGTGTATTTTGTTTAAACATATTTTTTTTAAATATGTCACTGAAAGTAATTGTATTCGATAGTAAAAGTAACATTCGTTAGTAAAGGCGACTAATATGTGATAAAAAATCATTAGGCGTTTTCGACCACAATATGAGTTGTCCTCACTGGCCTCTATAAATGGACAGGCTTTAAATCGTGGCATTTTGTGCCGATATCATTTTCGCCATTTTGGCCCTGACGGTTGCGCTAGCTAGTGGTGGTGAGGATTTTAATAAATATTAAAGATAGACTAAACTGTGAGGAACTTCAACGTTGCTTTGAAATCGGCACGAAGCTGTTATTTCCTAACGAGGAACTATCCATTTACAAAGGTCAATGATTTTTCCTTATGTTTCTATCTCTTACTATATTCCCCTCTCTCTCTCTCACTTTCCCTCCATCCCTCCGTATCTTTCTAGGTGTATTTAATTTTGTTATAAATAATATTTTTGTGCCAGGTGACCTCGCGTCGAGCAGTTGGCGACTGTCTCCCTCCAGCTCCGGCTACAAGACGCTCAGCTTAAGGAGCACCGACTCTGTCACACCTTCGCCTACAGGTGAAACAGCTATATATAATACATGATTGAAAATAACTGTCATTTCTGCATCAAAACATTTGTAACATATATATTACTGTTCTTAATGTAGTAAAGTTTTTACATATACTTTGTTATGTAAGATGTCAGCATACATAACAGAAAAATACATAGAATATTTTTTTTAATTCCACGCGGACGGTGTCGCAGGCGAAAGCTAGTTTTGTGATAGTTTACTGAATGTGCTTGATACCAGGCGGCGCGAGCCCGGAGCCGGGTGCTTTGGGCGCTATGGGTGCTATGGGCGCTATCGGCGGTGTGGGCGCGATGGGCGGGGAGGGCGCGGAGTGCGCGGAGGGCGGGACCCTCGTGTGGGCAGTGACAGACCTGGCCGCAGTACCTCCCGGCGCCCTCGTCATACACCCACAGGTACAAACATACACATATATCTATACTATTTTTTTATCATCTTCCTTGTTATCCTACTCCCGTAGTGCGCAACAGGTTTTTGTCTTCCATATAATTTCATATCACTACCTTCTTGATCATGTCACCTTTCATACAATCCATCCATCTCTTTCTAGGTCTAGCTCTACCGGTGTACCACATAACTAACATTCTCGTCGTATGTAATTGCGACATGCGATTCATCTCTCCTCATAACATGCCCCCATACTAACCTTTTACTCCTTACCTTCTCTACCACTGGGGCTACTCTCAAACTTCGAACTTTACAGAATCTAATGAGACCATTAAAAAGCTAAGTTATCTGTGAGTAACATAGGCTATAATGTTTTATTATTTTTTATTTTCATACGGACACAGTTGCTATATTTATACGTATACGTATACGTATTGACGTTCCAGACTGGTCGTCCGCTGACGAACCCCGACGGCAGCGTGTACCACTTCGACCCCGCCAACCCGCCGATAGTTCACGACACAGGAGTCTTCCTGCACAACGAACAGTACAAGGTATTCACAAAATGTACCAAATTTGTTATAACAACATAAAAAACAACAAATATGTTCAATAATATAATTGTTGATTTTACAGATCGATCCCAATAACGAGAAGAGAAGAGGCAGGTTAGAAAAACAACACTCCTTTATGGACAATGGTAAATGTGATATTCTTTATATAGGTTTATTTATTATAAGCATCGACTATGTCTACTCATTAGGTAGGTAGCCAAGTTTTACTCTAGAACAGAGGTTAAAAATTTGCGATTTTTGTCGTGAACCCCCTTTAAAATTTTTACTTTGTTACGACCACTTTGAGAATGTTATTTAGGAACTTATAATATTCTACTAGCAACATTTTATTCCTATTACTTGAATAAGTATTTTTATATGTACAGAATGCGAGTGCCAATCGGAGGAGTGCCGCACCAAGTGCTGCTGCGAGTGTCGCCGGCAGGACAGCGCTGCCAACACTAATGATGTATGAAACTATTTCATGTATTATATAGTTCATCCAAAATTTAAATCAGTTATGAATCATAATTTTTAAATTAATATTTCGACATCACGATAAAATGATATTGTAAACATCTAAATAACTCTTGTGAAGTTGTGTACTATACTACCTTATGAAAGTCCAATATAGTCACAAGAACGCCCCTGTATTATTTTAAATGCATGTCCAATGTAATTAAAACATTAATTTACAGGCTCCAGCACTTGAGGAGAAAACAATCTCTGCCCCTCCTAGTCCGAGTAAAAGTCTACAGAAACAAACCATCGATAACGATAATTCACAAATTGATAGCAATCAATACGAGCCAACCGATATGGTTAACAATCAACCAACCAACCAATACGAACACCAAAACGAATTTCAACCATCAGCCAACCAGTACGAGCAAAAAGAATTTCAGCCATCAACTAACCAATATGAACATCAGAAAGAATTTCTACCATCCCCTATTCAATACGAACATCAGAAAGAATTTCAACCATCAATCAACCAATATGAGCACCAAAAAGAATTTCAACCATCAACCAACAAATACGAAAATCAGAAAGAATTTCAACCATCAACCAACCAATATGAGCAACAAAAAGAATTTCAGCCATCAACCAACAAATACGAACATCAGAAAGAATTTCAACCATCAACCAACCAATATGACCACAAAAAAGGATTTCAACCCTCTATCAAACAATACGAGCACCAAAAAGAATTTCAACCATCCCCTATGCAATATGATCACCAAAAAGAATTTCAACCATCAACCAACCAATATGAGCAACACAAAGAATTTCAACCATCTACTATTCAGTATGAGCATCAAAAAGAATTTCAACCGTCAGTCAACCAGTACGAGCAAAAAGAATTTCAACAGCCAAACAACCTATATGAACACCAGAAAGAGTTTCAACCGTCAACAAACTTATACCAAAAAGAATTTCATCAACCGATCAACCAATACGAGCAAAAAGAATTTCATCAACCAACCAACCAATATGAACAAAAAGACTATCATCATCAAACCAACCAATACGAGCAAAAAGAATTTCATCAACCAACCAACCAATATGAGCAAAAAGATTATCAACATCAAACCAACCATTACGAGCAAAAAGAATATCACCAACAAGCAAACCAATACGAGCAAAAAGAATATCATCCACGATCATATGAGGCACAAAAAATTTATGATCCAAATGAAAA